TTTTTTTGCTTACCAAGAGACAGGTCTTGTGTGGTTCTATTCTCTTCTTGCCTCATTGCTTTCGCCCATTCGTCTGCATACTCCTCTACCGTTATCGAGTCGGCCCTTATAATGGTGGCCCACAAAAGCAATACATAAAAAGAAATTTGAAAATAACAAAATATGTGTGCTTATTATCTCTACTATCCTTCGAACCCACGTCGACCTAGTGGACTTCCTACACCTAACCACTGGGCAAGTACAGTAATCGAGTCTTTAAGTGGCCCCTAAAAGAAATTATATTTACCGTGACGCCAAGCACAAGCTTCCTTTCTCGTGCCCACTCAACGAGGCCAAGTGACGTCGGTCCCACTCCCATACTCCTGGGGCAAGAAAAGATACAAGATCTAACGGCTATCAGAGGAGTCGTATCATCTAAAACAAAAATAAACATAATCAACGGTTAATATGGTTTTTTAATCGGTACGATCCAGCGGATAGACAGCCGCAGTGCACAAAAACTTCTGTTTCACCTGATTATTACCCAATCACCACTTACGAGTGACGACCGCTGTATATTTATCAATTACTCTTGTCAGTGACACTAGTCTTGTTATAAGTAAGGCGGTTGAAGTAGTAAAAAGTGATGAATCCAAGCATGCGCTTTGAAGTTCTGTACATGATAATAAACTTACATAGAAGTTAACAATGACAATACAAAATGTAGCAACCTCATCTATCAAAGTTGCAGAAGAGATCACAATGTCTCTCTCTCCCGGTGTTAAAGATGATCAGGAAGAATCACGCAATTTCTTCACTCTTCTTTGTCCCACTTCACTTGCCTTCCTAAAGCTACACAACACTAGCAATGCGTCCAAGTATCAATTTCAGTAAGGAGGAGGAAGCATAGGCATCAGCTCAATGCTAAAACCTGTTAATCCTCTGTGACAAGTCTAGCGTGTTCCATCCCAGGAGGGGGTAAAGGAGGGACGGCTGATTCAGTCCCAAGAAGGTGCCTTGCAGAGATGCCCTGAGGCTCTTTGTCCTTAGATGGAAGGGACCCAGATGCTGTAGATTTGGTTGAGTTGCTTTTGTGCATTGATGCTAAGAACTTTTTCTTTGAAAGATTTGTCGAAGCTGATGAGACAACTGAGCTGAAAACACCAGACTCTTTTAATGCTTGTATAACAACCTGCATTTACAACCAAAAGTATAGCCTTTTACAATTGAAATTCCAAAACTTTGTGTTTGGAAATTTATGTAACCAGTTGATGAGTATTTTCTTACCATTGGCGAATAAATGCGAGTAAGAATACCCTTCCTAAGGAGTTTCGTCTTCACCTCTTTGTCACCCCACACAACGTGTTCACGGTACCTACACATGATACATTACTCTTGTATCAAGACCAGATTTTTGTAACCAAAATTGGACCTTAACTTTTTCGACTTGTTCAAAGAGTGTCAAAAGTTCTCCATCGGACAAGTACACAAGAAAAAATGCGGCTCTTACCAGCTTAACATTTCTTCTTCAGTTGCTGTTGACGCAATTATAAATGCCTACAATGTTCATCATCCAGACAGCATCATAAAATAGCAAGTGGATGTGAAACACATATATTACAAGAAATTACTTTAAGGAATTCAAGAGATTTTAAGAAAAGATGCTCACAGATCTATCAAAATCCAACATAAAGCATCTTTTCACGTCTTCTTTTGTAGGCTTGCAGCCACATCGATCACGTCTGGATGTTAAGTCAGAAAATTTGGCATATGTGTAGTGCAAGACAGCAGCCTCCTCCAATTTGATCTCACTACCAATAATTAACAGGTTAATACACTATACATGATTCTATAGTAGACTAACAAAAAAGTCTTAATCACTTTTCTTAACCAATAGAAAGTTTACTTATGTTTGAATATATGATATACATACTTGGGAGTTTTCATGTAATTATGCCATCTGTGTGCTCCATTTGGTCGGAGGTGATCTTGAACCCGAGCAACTGATTTGCCATTACCATAAGTCAAGAAGTAATTTGGATTATTTCGTGTTGCTTCTTTGTACATTCCAAAATATGTATCTTTCGGAAGATGATCGTAATTCTTCTTAAACATTGAAACCTGCTTGCATCAAACATATCTCAGAAGTGATACTAGCATAACAAACAAAACAAAATAACTGTTGACGCGACTCTTCAGTTTGATTTGATGTCTCAGGTAAAAAAGAGATGAAACAGGGTTATACCTCTGTAAAAGGATCCTTGATATCATCTCGTTCAACGCTGCTTTCCTGAAGAACAAAAGCCAAAACAACTATTCATATGCAAGCTCAGATCATATGCGGAACTCTAGCACTCACAAAACTAGCTGAAAATAGGCGATGTAAGAAACGCGAATCACATCATGTCGCTCACATAATTTGGAAATATAACCATATCCACATTTGGAGGAACATCAAGTAGCAACCGTCTCAATGAGTATTCACGAGCACCTGCTGGGTATATTAACTCATCTGTGTCAAGATGAAGTATCCAATCCATGCCTGCATCCTGATATTTAGTAAGACGATCAATACAGTGAATATAACATGAGTCATGAGACATGAACAGATATCAACCAAAGCTGGTAAATAAAAAATGCATACCCTTGCCATGACAATAGCCATTTCCATGTTGAGAGATTGTTTGACAAATAACTCATAATTGCAGGGCTTATAAAAGAAAGAAGATAGCCACGTCTCATTCCAAATCCGGCTAATGAAGCAAAGAAAGACAGTAAAATGATCAGTAGTAGAAGATGTAACAATGCTACAATTCCCAGAACATACAAAGAAAAAAACATGTACTTAGTGACTTCCAGAGCTAAAAATATGCAATGGCAAAGTTTACTGACCTCTTTGCCTG